CCTGTATTATTTTCTTGAATTCTTCTATTTTTTGTCTTTATGTTCCATGAATTTGCCTGCCTTTTCCATGAATTTGTCTATTTTTTCCTCATTTTTGTCTGTTTTTTGCTTCAACTCTTGGATAATTCTGAATTTTAGAGATTTGAATTCCCTATCAGGTAATTCTAGTGCCTCTTCTTCTACTGGAAAGTCATCTGGTGTTTTATCTTGGACGCCTGCTGGGACCATCCTGTCCTGTTTTTTGTATATGTTTTGATATTGACTGCTGTCTTCAGGGCATTTAGTAGTCATTTTCCTCATTTATTGATTGTATATTTGTTTGTTTCATCCTGCTTTTTTGTTTTATTTGGTTATGACTGAGCAGGCAGGCTACGTGTTCTTTGATGTTTGCTCGTCTGTAGGCAGGATACTTTTCCCCTCCTTCTCCAATGGGTAAGGTCAGTCACTCAGGTATGGTACAGCAGGGCAGGTCCAGCTGAAGGGGAGTTGCTGAGATAGGTTGTGTGTGGCACTTACTAGGGCCGACAGGGTGGGCCGGGAATCAGTGCAGGGCAGGTTCCGGTAGGCCGTGCCTGTGCTGCTTGGGGATGTGATGTTCAGCACACAGTGCTGTTAGGCAGGAAGGAGAGGGGAGATTGTGATGTGTGGAGCTAAGATGGGTGTGGGAAAGAAGAGAGAGAGGAGAGAAGAACAGGGGCCAAAAACATACACACAAACAAACAGATAAGAGTGCTAAGGTAGCTTGCTGTTGGAGTGGAGAGATGAGAGACTGATAAATGGAGAAAAACAAAAAGAAAAAGGGTAAAAGAGAAAAATGAATAAATAAAAATTAGAGAGAGAGAAAAAAAAGAAAAGCCCCCAGGGATCCCATTTGTGCGGCTGCTGCTAGGACTTGGGAAGTTGCTCCCAGGCCATGAAGTACCACCTGACTAGAAGGGGTAGAGGTGTCACACAGCACCTGGTATTCAGGAGATGGGAAGAGAAGGTAAGTATAGAGAGACAAGAAACTGGAAATGAAGAAAGACAAAAGGGGAAGAAGAGAGAGAAGAAAACAAAACAAAGAACCAAAATAAACCAAAAAAAAAAACAAAAACAAAAAAAGCAAAACCAAAAAACAAGAAAAAAGTGCCCCCAAGGATGTCACTGTGTGTCTGCGCAGAGTAAGGGAGTAGCTCCCAAGCCATGCAGTACTGCCAAGCCAGAAGGGGCTCCAAAGCCAAGAAAAGAAAAATAAAACAAACAAACAAATCAAAACAGAACAGATCAGAACAAACAAACAGTAAAAGCCCCAGGGGTCCCACCAGCATGGCTGCCTGGGCAGGGAAGCAGTTTCACAGTTTAGCAGTGTCTCACAGCCTCTCAGGAAGAAGCAAAAATGGCACACAGAGCCAGGTATTTGAGACAAAGGAGGGGGAAGTGGTGAGAGGTAAGGAAGAAATCTAAAGAAGTGGAAAAAAGCAATACCAGCAGCCAACAAATGGCACTCAGGGAGCTGGCCAGTGTGGGCGGGTGGAATCCAAGGGTCACTGGGGTGAAGCCGGTGCTTCCCAGCCAGGAGACTGTGGCCGCAGGAAGCAGAGGAGGCCGAGTTGGGGTGAAGAAGAGTAGGGGTGGGAAAGCATATATTGCTGGTTACTGGTTGTTCTGTCTCCTGCTGGAACCTCCATGAAGCTGCTTTCTTGTACCCCCTGTTCTCCAATCTCTGATAGGAGGCCAAGATGGTGGATCCATGCTGCAGTAGCTGATAGGGGACCTCTGCATGTATCTTTCCTCACTCTCTGTTCTCTGTCAGTTTTTTATTCCAGTTGGTGCTTGGCTGAGTTCTTTATCTCTTCATTTGATGCTTAGGGTTTCAAGATTGACATGTGTCTCTGACTTAATTTTTTGGATCTTTGCTGTGGAGGGACAGTGTGGTGCTTCTGTCTATAGCGCCATGTTGCCAGGAAGTCCTATTTATACATATTGTTAATGATACTAACTGGGTGGGGGTTGGTAAGCTAAGAAAAGTGGTCCCAAGGTGTATGCTAATTAATACATCTAGAATCATGAGGGTGAAGGTGATGGTAATGGTGTTCGTGTGGTAAAAAAAGCAACTTCACTATGCTTTCTTCTTGATCTCTTCACAATGCAAGTCTGATTATGGGCATGTTTGTGTTTTTGTTTTTTTAATTGTACTTCAGGTGAAGTTTTACAGAACAAATAGTTTCTCATTAAACAGTAGCACACATATTGTTTTATGATATTGGTTAACAACCCCACAACATGTCA